CTTCAAGGACCAAGAATCTAGATCAGAAAAGCAAGAGATTCACATTCAAGGTATGTGTTTTAATTTCGTCTAACAATAAATTCAGAAAAAAAAAAAACACACTATTTAACCCATGAGGAAGGCCTATGCGTAAATGCCTAAGAAAACCTATTATAATTCACTCTATCCCCTCAAAAACTGATCACGTATTATGACCTTAATTTCGTGAGCTTTACTCCCAGCAAATGAAGACAAATGAAGACATTGTTGCATCATAGAGATGGAAGATGATTTATATAGATTGAAACACATTTATGCACATTTCCAATGACCATAAAAGAAAAAAATGTATCGAGCCTTGGTAATTATTACAGTTCATAAATTAAAAGTACAATGTTTACATCTAATATGGTTTATTCTAATATCAAATGTAACTAGATGACATAAAAATTGAACTTATAATGCTATATAATGTGTTATATGTGTCACAGAAAGAAAAAATAAACATCATGTTTAAAATACATAAACATTAAACATTATATTTAAAATACATAAACCCTCTTAATGATGTTTATACTTCCTTATAAAACCTTTCTTTGTATACCCATTTACACTTTCAAATACAATTGTAACCCACTGACATTTTAAAGATTAAACTTCAACTATCTCATGGTGTGCTTTCTTTCTAATTAAGTATTTTTGACCAAAGGGACCCAGACTGGGGCTACATTATCTCAGATTTCACAAGCTGACATTCACAATGAAAACAGTTCTTGATTATTTCCCTATTTAGCTTTGATTTGAAAAAGAACCATTGAGTTGTATAAATTTTCCCTACGCCAGGCCCAAGGGTCAGCAATCACAGTTAATGGCTGCTGATCATTAATCCAGTTTTTGCTACATTGCTAGCAACAACCTGAATTAATACTGCACACTCTCACCAGTCAGTCTAAGGTGAACCATGAAAAACAGATCCATAGACATACTAAAGGAAAATGACACAGATGAATCATACAACCTGGAGATTAAAATACAATTTTATTAAATTTTTGGATAAAATCAATTATTGCTTTTCTTGTACTGCTGTGCTCTCTGCCAATAAATTGTTACAGAGTGCCTATTTGGAGATTTAATTTTGAGAAGATAACCATAATTAACTGTGTCCCCTGGTGACTTCACAAGAGTTTAATAAAACACAACATATGCACCTTGAGAATAAAGAGAATAAAGGCTGGTCACTTTTTTTTTTTCTCTAAAGATTAGCAAAATTACACTTGGAAGACTGACATGGGTTTTAAAAAGAGTTGTGATACTCCTCTGTAAATAATGCCTTAACATACCTGAACTTTGAAAAGGCTAAGTATCAAAGTCAAATCAGAAAAAACCTCACACTTGCAACAAATTTATCTTTATATGTCTTCTGCTAAAAAAGCATAGAATGTTTGGAAATTATTTTAAAATCAATTTCTATACAAAACTTATATAATATTTTTATGGTATGTATTTATTTAATAAATCAGTTTCAAAGTCTAAAAATATATTTCAATGACCATATAATTTTCACAGTTACATATGTAAATACAAGTTTGTCAAAATTACTAAGATTAATCGTGCTCCAGTTACAATCTTAAGCAAACAAGAATGTAACAAATTTCTAAAATGTAATAATTGACAAGCATTGTCTAAGTGTGATAAGTAAACCTTCATGGATTAACAATACTTTGTTTATAGAAAATGAGAAAAAAGGAACTCCATTTTTTATTTCAATTATTCTATATCTACTTGCTCATAAAATATTCTAATTTGTCAAGCATTGGCTCCTGTAAGAAGGATTCTGACCTGTAGTTATAGACAAAATAAAACTATGCAAATGAAAATTACACTTGCAGTCTTGTTTTAGGGAAATTTGAAGAAATTTCTGGTGAAGAGAAAAGGCTAGAAGTTTTTAATACCCAAAAGGATGAGTTACTTACTATTCATCTCCTGTGAACTACATAATGCCAATTCTGTCACAAAGGCAAGGCAGAAATAAAGTCCTAACAGCTTTAGACCAATTGGGAGAAAATCTCGGCATGATTATTCTTCCTCTAGAGCACTTTAGTTGTACTCAATATGCATTTTATAATTCTTAATTTCTATTCAGCTATAATATCTCAGATTTTCAGATCATACTGTTTTATTTTCCTTTGATATTTAAAAAAGGTTTTATTGTTACTATTTTCTAGTTAAAATGTGTCATTCTCACTTTCTAAAGAGATATGTTTAATCTCCACAAATGAAAAATATTGTTCTTTAAGACTAGAAGTATCTAAGATCTGAGAGACCAGAAGCTATGCTAAACATGAATGTAATTCATGCCATTCACTTCACAGCTTCAAGCACCCAAACTAAGACTTGGAGATATTATGAAAGCTTCCTAGAGTTTCTAAGGATCTGGTACATAATGCCTAAACTGAACAGTACAGAATTAACCAGTAATTTATGTGTATACTCAACTGTATTCAAAATTTTCCTAGTAGATAACTGAGTACCAGTCTCTTGAGTTAGATATAGACATTTGAACTGGAATGAATTTCAATTCCTGCCCAAGATTTATGTTTGGAAAAGATTTTATTAACTAACACGCAGTATAATAGTAGGTAGTTACATCCTCAGGTACTGAAATTGACATGAGAGCTCTGAAGAGAATGAAATTAAACTGTTTTCTCTAATTAATAAACATTTATAATAGCAGAGTAGAAAACACTTGGCAATATCATCTTTTAAATACTTATTGTGTCTTTATGGTACCTACATAAAATAAGAATAAAAATAAAACATAATATTTTTGAATATTATGTAATATAATGCCCGGCTTCTAAAATTTTCTTGAAATTGACATTTTATTTTGGATTGGCATATATTCAGTCAAATTGTGACTATGCATATTCAATAGCTTTATTTACAAATTCATTCAAAAGTTCAGTTATAAACTATATTAACACTAAAAGACTGTTAGTATTTCAAGACCTGAAACTGAATCTGAGAAATACATGTTGAAACAAGCACAATCAGTATTTCAATCAAATCACTTTTTGTATTCATCTTTTCTCTAAAGTCATCATCATGTGAAACGTTAAAATTTAGAATTTAAGACTGATAATTTTTTTATATAAATGAGCTTCAAGGTCTGAAAACAGAGTCTTTTCTAAAAAGTACTTCAACTTTAAAAAACAGGCCACAGACCAAGTCAACTTCTCCCATACAAATGAGTGTGATCTGTCAAGCCACATCCAAAGATATGAGTGAACAACACCACTGCTTTTAAGCTCTTGTTAATGTCATTAGAATTAATATTATCTTAAATTCCATGTTAATAATTCTTTTAGAAGTAAGCATGCTAAATTAACATGCTTGCATACACTCATTTCATAAACTTTGTTAAAACTATTAATTTTGTCTTTCCATAAGATTGTCAGTATCTTGAGACGAAAAACTGATTATCACAGTGAATAATATGCAGTTGATGCTCAAAAAAAAAACAAACAAAAATCAAAAAGAACTGAATGAATATTACTAGTTTCAAAGTACTTTGTATTGTTACAGTTTACTTTAAAAGAGATAAACCATCAGTTCATGTTAACTATCTTTATTAGTGGGTTCAAATATATGGAATTTTGCCTGTCATATTTCCCAAAATGATATATATCTATTTCAGGGATGCTTTAACACTCTTAGGCAGAGGGATTTCTAAGTTAAAGGCTGTTGCTTTCATGTTAATATTATTATTTTCTTTCTCTCTCTCTCTCTCTCTCTCTCTCTCTCTTTTTTTTTTTTTTTGTCTTTTTGTGGTTTTTATCAGTACCAGGGATTGAACTCATGAGTGCCTGCTTGCAAGGCAGGCACTTATGCCACTAAGCTAAACCCCCAGCCCCAATGTTATTATTTTCTAACATTTTATATTCACATATATTTTATATGTCTCCTGTCACAAATAAAGTTGAAAATGTTGTGATTGCCATTCACATTTTATTAAATAAATTTGTTAAGAAAATTCTTTTTATGTTAGCAGTATAAAACAGAATTTATAATTGCTTATAGAAGACCAAGAAATGGAGGGAGAAACAAAAGAACAGAAAAAGAATTAAGATGGATGCATAAATTAACTTTGTGTAATGAATATAATAAAATTTTTTTAAATGAGTAAAGCTTTTCTTAATTTTCAAATATGGTTTGTTTGAAATTTTTGTCTGTATTTTCTTGGAAACTATCAGATGCTAATTTAGATGGTAAGAGATAACTCAAAATAAATGTGAAATGTCCAGTATTTAATACTTAGGAGAATAAAGATTTTTCATTAAGCATTCTAGATTTTTATAGAAAGGTAATATTACTTTTTTGTTATTTTAAATGCAAAAGGGAAATACCATTAAGGAAAATTTACATCATTCCTGCCACACTATTTTAGTTAAAAATTCTCTCCTCAATGCTAACTTGGGCTATCTCAAAAGAGGTAAAGTTCTGTATGATTTAAAACATGAATTAATAATGCTCAAAGAGTAATATTGAGCTTTTAGGTTACTAAAGTAAACACATTCAAACAAGCTTTATGTTAGGTTTTTTTGTATCTGGAATCAAACTAAGTACCTTATACTTGCCAGGCAGGTGCTTGTGCCACTAAGCTATATTCCCAAGCCTTATGCTATGTGGTGATTAAACCTGTTGGTACTAAACTAAGTTTATGAGTATAATTATGACTCCAAATATAGACAATTCTTTCCACATATATTTATCATTGGTGTTGATAAACATAAGATAGTAAATTTGAATTTTAATGCAAAGTCCTGTCTCTAATTGCCTCAGTTGAATAATAATTATTTAAAATATTGTCTGTACCTGTGGATGCAATAAGCAAAGGTATTTAAATGACTGAGAGTGAAATACTCACAGAACAACTTTATTGTTTTGTGAACAGGGTCACTATGAGACTGAAAATTTTTCCTCTCCACAGCTCTAAGTACCAATCAAAGTCTGTTACTTACAGGAGGGTCTGCATCTTCAGCGTAAACTGTGGTGATAGGTGTACCCTTGACCGCATCTGGAGCCACCATTCCTTTGTAGATTCGTTTGCTGAACACCGGAGGATAGTCATTCATATCCTGGAAACACAATTAAGAGGCTACAGCTTCAGCTGAAATCAGGCTAGAGTCACAGTTACTAAGTTGATTCCAGTTCTTAGCGCATAAGCCATTTGCCCGGTCACCTTTCATCCCCTCAGTTCTGTTACTCTCACTCCTCTACTCTCTCTCACAGGCACTTTAGTGGTAATTTCCAATATTCCTACATAATATTAATGTGTACTCACTGAAGGCTGTTCTGCTGAAGTGCACTGTCTGTCACCCAAAAGACACATCTTTCAGAGGCTCAAGTGATGCCTGAGGTTTTCTTTAATATTCTTCTAAAAGTACAATATAAAATTGTAACTTATTGAAAAGAAAATATTCTTCTTTTCCTTCCTACTTACCCTCTCTCCCTCCCTCCCTCTTTTCTTTCTGTCTTTTTTTTTTTTTTTTTTTTTTTTTTTTTTGTCTTTTTCATTTTTATCCGTACCGGGGATTTAACTCACTACTGGCTGCTTGCAGGCAGCTGAGCTAAATCCCTAGTCCCAGTCTTTCTTCTTCTCTTTCCTTCCTTCCTTCCTTCCTTCCTTCCTTCCTTCCTTCCTTCCTTCCTTCCTTTCTTCCTTCCTTCCTTCTTTCTTTCTTTCTTTCTTTCTTTCTTTCTTCATTTCTTTTGCCACCAGGAATCAATCTTAGGATCTCAGGCTTCCAGGCAGGTGCTGTGCTCCTGAGCTATATATCTGCCCAGAAAACAACTTCCTAAAGGTACAATTCTATAAGAAAAAGATGGTATTTTGTATTTTGTTGTTGCTTTTCAAAAGATGTATTTTGTTTTTATAGCACTTACAAATTTTTATATAGTCTGATATTAATTAGGATATTTCAAATGTAAACTGTAAAACATCCTTTGATTCTTGTTTTATTCTTATAAAACAAATATAGAAAGATAAAAGGAAGTTTCCCTCCAGAACAATATAATATTGACATCAAAGCTTATAGATAAGAATCTGTGTTAATTTAGTTAACTATTTTATTCAAAGGAATTTATAGGCATTGTGTTTAATTTTCAGTTTGGAGACACACATGTATTATCACTTATTTAGGGTCACTAATTCAATGCTCATTAAGCGCCTCTCTTTTTTAGGGATGGGGAATACTGTAGTAACTCCCTATATTTATGAGTAAACTGCCATGTGACCAGTAGAGATGAAAATCCACAGAGAGGAAACTGACTTTACCTGAATAAAACCTATGTATAGGGCAGAGGTAAAATCAGAAACCCTCTCCTCTGAGAATAAGATCATTCTTTTATTGCAAATATTATAATTTATAGAGAATCACATATCATTTTTCTCAGTATGTGATTTTCACTAAAATAGCTGAACGATTTATTTTGTAATAGTCATACATTGCAATGTTTTATGTAGTTAGTGTTATGATTTGTGTTTAGGTGGCCCCCTATGCCTTATGCAGTCATAGAGGTGGCTGAGTCTAGCCTTTGTTACTAGTATGTCGTCCAGCTCTCGGATTGGTGGTGTGAGTGCCGTGCCTGCCCAGGGGCAAGAAGCAGGCATACAATGTAAAGTGGAGAAAGAGGTGTGCTTTTCCCCTTTTGGCCTTTTGCTCGCTGTTTGCAGCTGCCATGAATGTCCCTCAACCAAGCTATCCTGCCTTGGAGCTAAAGACTCCAAAAACCTGTAAGCTAAATAAACCTTCGCTTGCTTTACTTTGGGTGTCAGGTACTTTGTCTCAACAATGAGAAAAAAGTAACCAAGACATTTAGGAAGGTACTTTTGGTCAAACAAATATATAGATAGAATGCTAAATTTGCTAATTATCTACTTTCCCACCACCCCAGTAAGCTTATTGCCATTTGCAACTAAACAACAAAAAGAAAAAAAAAAAGTTCAACACAGTCTTTGATGTGTATCCAGACACAGCAGTTTTCCCACACAGTGCAATTAACCAACTGTAAAATTCACATTTTGCAAAAAAATCAGAATAATTATCTCTTACCCTTAAAGAGATTTGTCTGTTGATAATAGATGACTGAGCTGTGAATTGAATAAACCTGCAGACCCTATTAATAAATGTGTCTTCATAGACAAATTGAAAAGCAAAAGATACCATTTCCTTTTGACATGTGGTATACACATCCTCTTGCAAGACAAAGATTTTCTTTGTAATTGAATAATTAAAGGATATAAAGAAATAAGAGTTCAGGATGTATTGGTTCTCTTTAATGAAGGTGTTTGGGCATTGGTCTGAGGGATCCATCCAGGAGGTACTGTGGAAAGCATTTGTATACGGTTTCTCCTGCCCTTGCTACAGCGTTGATTAATTTAATGAACCCATCTTGTAACTAAAAAAGTGGGAATATTTCTACCTCCTACACAGTAGCATCTGAAGGTTAAAAACTCCATTTTTCCTACATGAGTTCCTAAAGCTGAATCAAGTCCTATGAATTTTCTTTATCTCTGAAGTTTTAAAACTAGAAAGAGTTTTAAATATTAATATAAGCAGTTATTTTTTGGAAAATTTTATTCTACAGGGAAAAATGTGATTTTACACCATAAAAGGTTTTAAATATTCATATAATGTGGTATGTTTTGGAAAATTTGATTCTAGAGGAAAAATATGATTTTACAATTGTATCAATTGTAAATTTATATTGTTGTTTATAGTGTTGGTTATTGTAGCTTTTTTTTCCTGGGGAAGTATACATTGGATTCATCCTCTAAATGAAGTGCACAGTGGATACTTTTATAATCTATTCTACAATAACTGATCACACACAAATATAGGCTATAAATGACTGAAGACCATTAAAAGATTGTTTCTCCTCCCCCTTTATTTCTCTGGCCATTGACAGGATGAAGAATAATTCAATGAAGTTCTATTGTAGCAGTATTTCTTTCTCTAGCATATTGTACATATTTCAGGGTTGTAATCTTTTATTGTGGCCACAATGCATAGTCATTTGCCCATAGTTCTTTCCACAAAGCGTTCCTTCAAATGAGAAAATTTATTGAAATGCATTGCCAACAAGCATAATCAATAGTTCATTACATTTATGCTTCAGGGACAACCAAAGAAAAATGTACATAAATCTATTTCTGTACAAATATTCTGCTATGCAGTAAATTAAAGATAAACGCTACAAAACCATGCTCTTATTTTGTTGGCCTTTATTCCACTAGAGGGCATTATTAGCAAAAAAGAAGAAGAAGAAAAAAACATTTTCCGATCTTCTAGGCAATTTAATCTTTGAAACCCATAATAGTTTGCTTCCTGTGGTCATATTTGTTGATCTGAACACAAGTTAGTGTTTATGTTTTAAAAGAGTGCTCTGTTACCACATTTCTCAACTTCAATAGCACCAGGTTTCTCTTCAAAATCATTTTATTTCTATTTATTTAATTCTTTATCAGTAAAGCTTGCAATTTCTTTGCCTGCACAACAAATAACTGTACCTGAAGGTATAGTTAGCTAGCAACAGGAAAAATGAATTTTTTTCTAAACTGAAGTCTAAAATAATCACAGAAAGCATTTTTACTTTGGCACACCATAAAGTAGATTTAAGGAATCATTTTAACAGAAGGATACGGAAGATAGGAACTTGGGAGTAAGTTTAATAAAGAGAGAGATGATAAAAAAAAATCTGATGTTAAATCATCGTAAAAATGGTTCTGCATATGAAACTATTTCTGGATAGGAAATATTAACTGGTTATAGCTTGGTCCTCCTTTTAAAAAAAATGATGAAACTAAATCAAATGCCAGCCTCATGTTCTAAATGCTAATGCACTCTCTGACACACAAATAGCATAAGTCAACAGGTGGAATGGCTTCAGTTGTTTCTGTTCTGCCTGGCATTAGCGTGACCCATGTTGAACCCTTCAGGTGCTACACCTTCAAAATCCGGCAAAGCCTACAAAATTGACAGGTGCTCTTCTTAAGCAGACCGTATGAATGATATACTAAATCCTCTGGGACCATATGAATGATACACTAAATCCTCTGGGACCAGTTATTCCTATCTTCTGCTAAACACAACAATCTTATTGGTTGATTTTATCTTTGAATTGCCTCATTCCTGTGTTTCATATTATCAGCCTTCTTCACTGTTTTCTCCTACTTTCCAACCTCTGTCTCTGCACTCAGGCACATAATAGAATATATCCGAAGACAAATCTTTTTCCTGTTTTGCATTAAGCTATCTTCAATACACATGCTCGGTTTCTCTTACATTGATTTTATAAGCTTTTTATAAAAATACTTCATGGGACATATATTCCTAAGGTATCTAAATTTATTTTCAGAATTTTTTTCTTTCTATTTCTGAGCTAGGAACTGCTGCGTATACTAGGAGGCATTATGTCCACAATTTAGACATAAGGAAATTCAACTTTTGCCACAAATAGCAAAGAATGTACAATCTCTCAGTAGCACAAACATTGACAGAGCTCCCACTGTGCACCAGGTACTATCTTAGAAATCTGCCTTGCAAGCAGGCAGTCGTGAGTTCGATCCTTGGTACCGATAAAAAAGGAAAAAGACAAAAAAAAAAAAAAAAGAAATCTGAGATATGATTACAGAAAAGTTACCGTCTGGTGATATTAATGCTGCTGTTTAGCAAGTAAGCAAAAATATACATAGATAATTTCTTGTCCAATGAATATTATGAAAGAATTAGTACAATGATGTTATCAGAGTATACATAAAAGTGTTTCACTAAAGTAAGGTTAATAAGTTACTTAGTTATCTGTCTTGATTTCTTTGTGTACTCTGGTAGGACAATCTTTCAAGATGGTAGATGATTTAGAAGGAAAAATCACTGAGCAAGGGGAATTAATCTCCCAATTCAATACAGAATTTCATTCCAAATATAAATTCCCCATATTTGATTATTTAGGGAACAAAATTCAATACATTTTAGGATTTTCTTCCAAACTGTGATACTACTGTTAATTGAAAGTATATGTGTTTATTTTGACCATAATTTTGAGGAATTTCTATGTAATAGTATTACACTATTTC